GGTTCCTCAAGAGTCTACTTGGTTCCTCAAGAGTCTGCTGGGTTCCTCAAGAGTCTACTGGGTTCCTCAAGATCCTAAGGAGTTCCTCAAGAGCCTGCTTGGTTCTTCAAGATTCGAGTCTGCTGGGTTCCTCTGAGTCTACTTGGTTCCTCAAGAGTCTGCTGGATTCCTCTGAGCCTGTTGGTGTCAGAAGAGCCTCCTGGAGGTCTTTGTCTTCACTTCAGAGTAGATCCCTACATGGCTTCCACAGGAACTCTAGAGAAGATTTGTGAGGCTTCAATAAAACTTTGAGACGCTCAGTGGATCCAGACCTGGTCTATGGTTCTGAGGAAGTTCTGGGTTTCGGAGTTTTCCTGGTTGAAGGTTGTTTAGACGATGTAACGTACGAGTTGTCTGGAAACAACTTGGCCCCAAACGTTACGCGTTCTTAGATGTTGATCTTCTGATTACTATGATTTTCTCTGAAATCCATTCAGTCAGTCAAGAGATATTTTGCTAACAGACACAGACCAAAACACCTTCGCCTTCCTTTCACCTGTTAAAAAACATGAAACAGTTTTGTGAGAACGTCTTGTAGAAACTTATTAACAAATCAGATTAAAACTGAAATGTTTGAGTTACGTCTTCGTCCCTGACACGTTTGCATCTCTCAGATTTTCTCACACACACATTTATTTATATTTTTAATTTTATTTTTTTATATATATATTTCCAGACGTTTGTGTTTCCCAGGAGGAAAGCAGGGGGCTAAAGGAGGATAAATATTTAATCAGCGCTGCTCTGGAGTTTCTGCCTAATTAGAGGAATTCAGAATAAAAATCTGAAGCCGGAGCCGTCAGCAGAACACACACGGCTAAAACATGACATTTATCATTTCTGTTCGGTTTGAGCGACACGTTCCACAGCAGAGTGAATTTAAACACTGATCTTATTAGCTGCTGTGTGTGTGTGTGTGTGTGTGTGTGTGTGGTGCCATATGTCTGCGCGTTAAAAAACACAAATCTGTGCCAAACATGCGCAGCGCTCGTGTCAGTCAGCCTGACGACAAAGATTATTCTACATTCTATCAGTTAATCCATCACAATCAAAGTAAATCTATCGGAGAGATTACAGATTATTGCTTATCGCAATAATTATTTTCAGCAAAATATCTCTCTGACCCACTGGACTGATTTTAACCAAACATTCAGAAAGTAGTAATCACATTTAAAACAGATTTAACATCTGGAGTCGATCCAGTATAAGATGGCTCTCACAGCTACTTGACCTTAGCAAATATAAATATGGCGACGCGAGTCAGTTTACAGATGAGCTAAATGTTAGCATAAGCTTAGAGTTGTCTCCAACACAGACTGACACCTTAAAGATCATCTCAGATCAAGATGGCTGCCCTGCTAATCAGCCTCAGCAGCAGGAAAATGACTAGCTCTGTAATTTCTACAGATATTAAGGTAAAGTTTGGTGTGGCAGTAGCTGAGAGTCCTCTCCAACACAGAATCAGAGAGCTAACGGATCACAAGGTTTCATGAGATTGTTACTCTCCAGTTAATTTTGCTCTTCTTCAGTATTTTTGATCTTCTAGAACTGAATTCTTTACGTCAGTGGTCCAGTTCTGTTGGACTGAGCAGGAGGAGACTGGATATCCCCCCCCCCAGTCAGGTGACACTGAGCATCTCACCTGTTAACTTTAGTTCCTCCGAACACGCCGAATCCCTTATTTGGAGCATGGATTTGCAAAACAATGACGTAATAGGAGACGTTAGCCAATCAGAAGCCAGAAATGAGGCGCTTATTCAAACGAGCTGTCCTTATTTGGGCATGTCCCCGCCCCTCTCCCGCTCCACGCGGTCCCACAGGATCCTCAGAGCTCTGAACCCGGGAGAAGGAGCTCTCCTCCGGGACAGCGGAGCCATAAAGAGCCGGGGAGGGAGGGGAGGAGCTGCCCACTCCCCCCTCCTGTCCCTCCGGACCCGCAGCCCGCCTCGGTCCGTCCCTGCTCCTTCTTCATCATTTCATTTCACTCCGTTTTGAAGCTGCTTCGGGTTTTTACATGTTGTTTTCCTGCGCGGCGCTGGCTCCCTCCCCGGTCCCGGTTCTGCTCGGTTCTCCGCGGCTCTCCGGCTCCCTCCGCTCCGCCCTCCTTTAACTTCACACGCGGAGGTTTTAAAGCGCCGAACCGCGGCGGGGATCTAAAAGAAGCCCGGAGGAGCCCAGAGGAATCCGGGGCTCTTCTCTGGATCTGGACCCGGTACTTTGGGGAAGCTGACTCCTGTGTCCCCCCCCTCCCCTCCTCTTCCTCCTCCTCCTCCTCATCACTCCTCTTTTCTCCACCTTAATCCAGGTGGTCCTTTGGCTGCTTGAGCGGCTCTTTCAGGGAGGATTATTGTTCATCTTCTGACCCGGTTCTGGTGAGGCTCCCAGAAGGACGGTTTGATGTTCTCCATCCAGGACGGCCTCCCCCGGGGGGCCCTGACCATGAAGGAGGAGCCGCTCCCCACCGGCATGACCCCGGTCCGCTCCTGGATGCAGGGCGCGGGGATCCTGGACGCGAACACGGCGGCCCAGAGGTAAAACACTGCACACAGAACCGAACCCAACCGAACCGAGCAGGAAACTTTCTGTTTGGTCCACCGGAGATAAATCAGAATCTCCGGTTCTGGTAAAACCCATCAGTCTAAAGTGAGAGGAAAGTTGATTTGTATTGTAATCAATAAATCTGGACCCAATCGGAACCAGAGCTCATCAGCTGGAAATCGGGTTTGAGAAAGGATCAAAAAGTGGCATTTGATCCGCTGTAAAACCAGATTAATTGATAATTTTTTAACTTGAACGCCATAAAAAATGTTAATTTCTGGACTTAAACCCACAGTTTGAAATGGACTCTTGTCAATCGGCCGAACTTTTTAATATTTTAAACATTTTAAATCAGCTGATTTTTATTGTTTTGGGCTCGGAACAGCCGAACTCCTCGCGCCGCCTCTCGGTTCCTCTCAGCCCGGTTCGGTGTCAGCAGCGGCCCGGTCCGAGCGGGTCGAGGAGCCGATCGGCTCCCCGACCCGCAAACATGGTTTACAAGCAAGACGCATCAAAGTTCACCCTCCAGAACCGAAGTTCTGCTCGTTCAGACCCATTTGAAACGGATCTTGCACGGAGTTCGGTTTCTGCCGCGCTCCGAGCGCACTGGAACAAAACGGAAACTTCTTGATTCACGTTCTCAAACGGAACTTTTAAATTTATTTAGTAGAGTTTGACAAATTTATGCGACAATTAAAATTAAATATAACATAAAATTACTGTAATATTAAACGAGCTGATTTTAAAGTGTTTTTATTCTAAATTAAAATCTCATAAAATAATTTACAGTTTTTAAATTAAAGAACTAATCATTTTGGTTTTTTTTATTAATAATTATTAAACTGAGAATTCAAAGGAAATCCGACCCTGCAGAAAACGCATCAAACTCCGCCAGACAACCCGCAAATCCCGCATGGACCAGTCTGAATTACTTTTACTGTTAAAAACGTTTACAGGCTCTTTTTTGCAGATGTTTGCAGACAAATTAATCTAAAGTCTGCAACCAATCTCTGTTAATTAAGTTTGACAATTTAAGAGTTTTTTTTATTTATTTAAAATAAATAGACTGAATAGTTACTTCATCAAAATAATTAAAAACTCATGTCTGAGAACCAGAATTAAAAAAATGAGGTAAATAAATTTGAACATTTTTATTTATTTTTGCTGTTTGTTCTCAATAAGTTGAAGATTTGACTTTTAGTGTCTTCTGCACATCAAAATGTTCTTCATGAATATGTAAAATTTATTCAGGATTCAGTGAAATAAAATGTTTTAAAGCTTGATTTAGAATTAAAACAAGTTTGTGTGTTTGCAGATAATCTGACAGTATTTTAAATTTAAGATAAAATGAAATTAAATCAGAAACATGTAAAGAAAATCAAAGTCCATAAAGAAGAATCCATCAAACACAGAATTAAAAGGTTAAAACAAACTAGAATTTTGTTAATATCTGTAAAACTTCAGGGTGTGAGGAGAGATTAGAATTATTAACTCAATATAAAATAATTAATTTTGTTTTCGGCACGCCGGAACCTGAGGCGGAAATCATGTGACAGGTGAAAACAGTCGACCTGCTGCTCCTCAGGAACCGTTAAAACAACCGCAGAGCAGCTGAAGACGCAGATTTAAGGCTGGGCAGGTGAATCTGGTTTTAATAAACAGGTGAATCTGGTTTTAATAAACAGGTGAATCTGGTTTTAATGAGCTGGT